AGGAGAAGGGATTGCGGCGTGACCATCCCCCCTGGGGGGTGATTTCTCGCTTTCTGTCTCTATGTCTCTCTCTGTCTGTCTGGCGAGCTCACGCGCCCAACAGTGAAAATCTCTCCAAAAAAAAAAAAAAGATAAAAGGGCCAAAATGATAAATAAAATAAAAATGAAAAGGGCTTGCTCTCTGGAAAAGCTGGCCTAGCATTGGTCTGTCCAAGGAGTGACCACACTTACCTAGGAGCTCACCCGAGGTGCCCCAGTGAACCCAGGACCCCCACAGCACCTCCAAAGCAAGGCCTATTTGGAGCCCCTGAGTGGGACCGGGGACACTTGGACAAAACTTCTGGCCCACCCTCTAGGCAGCCCTGGGGAGTGCAGAAGGGGAGATGGGTGACCCCTGAAGTTCCCCCCCCCAGGCCTAGGCATCCCTGCTGTGGCCAGAGCAGAGGCTCCCAGAAATCCTCTGGCCAACCTTGGCCCCTGCAAAGCCAAGCCTCCTGGGGGCACGGGCAGCTCGTGGTTTCTCTTATCTTCCTGAAGAGATGTCCCTAGTGGCGCCAACGGCCAGGGAGTTCAGCACATTTTCTCAAGCAGACTTCAAAGTGAGGACGTTCTGGGAATGGCCAACGTTTCCCAGCCAGTGGGCAGAGCCCGTCTCCGACACCGTCCTGCACTGGTTGCTGATGGCTTCTGGGCCTGACAGCAGGCTGCAGAGCAAGCAGTTCCTGATGGGCTGGGGTTGGGGTGGCTTTTGGAAGATTTGGGGTTAAAGCGGAGGTTTGAAAGGACAGAACTGGAGATGGTGGATCAGGGGCTGGGTGAGGCCCCCTGGGTGTCTCTAGTGGAGCTGGGGCTCAGTGTCAGGGTAAAGAGGTCTTACCCCGGACGTTTCCTCAGGACAAGGGGGAGCCACAACAGGGGTACGAGCATGGGAGGGACTGTGGTACCCCAAGGGAGCAGATAGAGGGGGCCAAGACTAAAAGTATGAAGACTGGAGAAGGGTGTTGAGCTGGTTTGAGGAGGAAACCGAACTCCAGTGCAGGGTAAGCTGGTCCCAGGCAACGCCTGGCAACGCCTCCGTGAGGTCCCGGTGAAGTTAGCCTTGAAAGGACGTGCCCAGCTGTTGGGTATGGCTGTGGGTCCACAAGGATTGTCCCAGGCTGGGGGCCTGTGGCCACATCTGTGAGGTGCAGTGGAGGAATGTGCTCGCTGGAAGCCCAGGCAGCCCTGCTGGAGCAGTGGCAGTCCCTTGGGCCTCCTAAACCAGGCAGCGCGGGAGTGAGAGAGGGGACCCTTTATGTTCCCAAACCAGCCGGTGGCCTTTTAGGGAAGTTTTGCTGAGGCCTGAGACTGTTACTTCCCTGTGATTTATGAGGGATGTGTCCTGGGGAGAATTGTGGATGTGGGTCAGCCCTAGGAGGCCGGGGGGTCCTCTGGCCCCACCTCCTGGCTCTGCCCAGGTGTGGCTGAGCCTCTGTCAAGCAGAGGCCCATGGCTGGGCTATGGGAGGAGAGCACTGGACAGGCTGCCTGGGAGAGTCCAGGATACGAGGCGGGCTCAGACTTTGCTCTGAGGCCAGCAATGGGAACGATGGGGCTGGATTTGGGCTTTTGGGTGATGCCAGAGGCAGAAGTGGGATGACTGGGGCCAGGGGCCAGGGTGGGGTTGAGAGGCCTTGAGGCCTGGAGGGGCCACTGACTCAATGAACTCAAGTGACTTTAGGGGGGGCGATGATGCCTGGGTATGCAGAGTGCAGCGAGGCAAGGGCAACTGGTTTCTGGACCTTGTGTCGGTAGGTAGTGGTTCCCCAAACTGCAAACGGAGAGCATAGTCATTGGGGTGGGGTGATGGGGCCTGGCAAGGGCTGGCAGGGCTGGGGCAGATTGGGATCTGGGGCACAGAGGGGCTCAGGAGAAAGGGGCTGCCCTGGGAGTGGAGGCTGGAAGGCCTGGAGGAGCCAGCCTGGGTGCGTGTGCTCCCACATACCTATGAACACGTTCTCGGGTTTCTCTTCCAGAAGGAAAGCAGCAGAAGTGAGAGCTGGGGACAGAGTGGAGACTCCAGCGTGTACCTCAGGTTGACAGTGCCCAGATGTTTGCTCCCCACTCCCCACCCTCCCAACACGCTCACCCGCTTGCCCACTGGGCCCTGCTGGACACACAGCAGGCCTGAGGCCAGAGCGGCCACCTCCGGGCCCGTGCCCATCTGACCTGGAGCTCTAATTCCTGTCTCCTGAACTCCTCTGGAAAGCTCCCTGCTGAAGCTCCGGTCCAAGGACTGAAGCCAGGAAAGCAACCACTGAGACGCCAGAGACCCAGAGCCTTGGCCTCCGAATCTGAATCCACGAGGGCGCTCTGGAGCCTGCTCCCCCTTGCCTGGAGGCTGGGCATTTACGTGGTGACAGAGGACTCCCAAGGCCCTTCTGACGGGCTCTGACCTCTCACTCAGTGCCTAATCTAGGGCCTGGTTGGCCTCAGGGAGGCGGGGAGGTCAGCTGGGGGCCATCTGGGCCCAGCTGTGCACAGTAAGGGTGGGCAGCCCCCTCCACTCTGCTTCCATGAAGTCAGCTCCAGCTCTGCTCGTGAGAGTCGGAGCCTGTTTGTTTATATATGCAGGCCCCAGGGGGTTAAAGGGTCAGGAGAGGAACAGGGAGGAGGGGCTAGGAAGGACCCCCTTTCCCAGGAGACAGCCCTATTTGCCCGCCTCCGCTCGGCTCACTTCCAGGTCTCAGGTTCCCCAGTCCTAAATGAGACCCGTGAGTCTTGATGTTGCTTGGTCTGCCAAGCAGGCGTTGGATTTGCCATCCACGTCCCTGATGTCCGAGACCCCAGACATCCTTGGGCCCCCACGCGCTGTGCCCTTCCACCCAGCCCAGAGTGCGGCCACCCTGGTATCTGCACAGCTGGCCGATTCTGAGGCCAGGACTCTCAGCCACACTTTTTGCCTAACCGCCCCACCACGCACACACGTGAGCCAAAGGGTGTTGCCAAGGATGGCTAATTACCCAAGGCACTTCCTGTCCCTCCCTCCTCGCTGGAGGGCGGCCTCTCCAGTGGATCATGTCAGATGATAGGGAAACATTTGATGGATGGGATTTTTCTCTTAACTCAGCTTTTGCTTCTGTAGCAAAAACCAGCTAGGTGTAGCGGAACAGTGAGTAAATGAGTGTGGGTGTGTCTCCACCCCTCCTAGAGAGCACAAAGTGATTGTTTTAAATGGAAATCCAGACTCTCACCCCTGTCCCGGCCCCAGAATGGAAAGCCCCCTCATCCTGCCTTGCAGGTAGATGAATTCCATCTGACCTGGGGCTCCCCAGCCCTTCTTCCCTCCCAACTTGCAGGTCTGGAGGGGCCGGTGGGAAACAGAGTTGGGAGGGCAGAGGGTTAGAGGGGAGTTCTGGTGCCTGGCAGAGGCTCTCTGCTTCTGTCCTGCACGGGGAGGGGTGGGGCGGGGACTCTGAGCAGGGGCAGGGCCCTGTACTCACCTGCTGACCTGCTGTTTGGTAGAGAAATAAAGGTTGTGTGCCTTGGGCAAGGGATGACTGCCAGCTTCTTTCCCGGAGCACGGTCCCATCATCCCCGCCGCGTGTCTGCCTGACGCCCTACCACCTGCACCCATCCCCACCCAGGAAAGCAAAGGCCTGGGGACCCCACGTCGTCAGGATTGTTCTCTTCTGCCAGGATAAGGCTCCAGAGAAGCCCTGACTTTAACCACAGCCAACTGGCAGACACGGGGCCAGGCAGACCCTTGCCAGGGCTGGTCTGTTGCTTTGCAGGTGGCCTCATGCATTTCATGATTTGCATGTCACCACTGAGGAAACTAAGACTGGGAAGGGTCCGTGACTTGGCCTGGGGCAGGGCTGGGCCTGGAGCCTGAATCTAAGGAGCCCCTTGCACCCCACCAAGGGGCCACCAACCCTCACTGTTGTGTGGGTCCTAAGAGGTTTCTCTCTTACTGTTTCCCTCCCTTCCTTGAACCCCAGAATCACCACCTCCAGCCCTTCTAAGCCCAGTCAAGTGCACCTCCCACCTCTCGAAGGCTTCCCTCAGCTCTCTCTGCAAGGCTGCTGAGATGAACCAGCTCCATACAAGTAGCCATGCACACACACACACACACCCATGTCCCTTTTGTCCCTCCTCTGAAGGGAGGACTCACCACAAAGCCGTCCTGGGAAGGAGACTCCCCAGGGCCAGAAGCAGGACCCACTGCAACATTTGCAGGGCCCATTGCAGGATGAAATGGAGTCCTTTGTGCCAAAGTGAAGACTCAGCACAGTAGAGCACTGCAGGGAGGGCAGGCCTGAGCCGGTCCTGCAGCTGCCAGGGGCTCCCACAGCCAGCCCTGACGAGCGAGCTCCCCTGACACCTTTAGGAGCTCCCAGCTTTGGAGGGGGTGAAACAGAGGTTGGTATGTAGCTCACAGGAGCCAGGAAGGCCTCGAAGCCCTTTCTACAAGAACATTCATGCGCCTCATCTCCCCGGGTTCCCACCAGCACTGCGAGCTGGCCAGGCAGGGCCTGGGCACCCCAGGAGCAGCAGTGTGTCTGCTGGAGGCTCTGCGGGCCTGGTCACCTTGCTGGCCTCCTCATGGTGGTCAGGTAGGACATGGGGCTAAGGTGGATGTGGTAAACCACATCTGAGGCGGGCCACTCCAGCCTTCCCAGAAGCCTCAGGGGCTCCAAGGCCAGGCCTGCTTTGCCTCCACCCCCACCCAGGCCTGCCCCAGCATGGAGTCGCCAGGCCAAGATGGAGCGGCCAAGGTAAACAGAGAGGTTTCCTACCTCACAGCCACTCGCCCAGGAGGGAATTCCGGGGCAAGCCCCGGCACGCGTTTCACGGCCGAGGGGTGGCTGCTGCCAAAATGCCCATGGGTCCCCCTGTCCCTCCAGAGACTGGGACTTTGAGCTCCCCAGGCCCCTCATGGTTTCTCCTAGTGTGGTCCCAACACGGTCCTTCCACCGCTTTGAGGGCCACACTAGGAAAAACGAAGGGGCAAAACTGGAGGCAGGAAGGAGAAAGAAGACCTCTGTGTACCCAGAGGCCCGAGCCCATGTCCACACAGCTCTTTTCATTTTGGCCCCCAATGTCCCCCAACAATAAACTGGTAAGTACATTCAACGGGATATTCCTCGGCGACCAAATCTGGATGAGGCTTAAACGCCGTGCTGAGCGAAGGAGGCCGAGCAGCTTCTGTGTGAACCTACCCCCTGCGAGGTCCTAGAGAAGGTGGAACATGTCTGCAGTGACAGAGCAGCTCAGGGAGCCCCTGGGCATGGAAGCTGAGAGAGCAAAGCTGCCAGGGATAGGTGGGGACACTCTCAGGAGATGGCCTGGGGGTGCCTACATGCCTCGGTCAATTCTCATCCAACCGTGTGCCCCAAATGGGAGCGTTCCTGCACGTGAGCTCTACCCCAATGCAGTTTTGTTTAAAAGAAGAAAAAGGGGCCAACTGGTGGTGTGGTAGTGAAGGCCCCTGGGTCCCACATGGCTGACGGAGTGGTTCAAGTCTCAGACCTGGCAGCTTGAAAACCATGCTGGGGAGAACAGCAGATGGCATAGTGGTTACATGACTAGCCTCTCACATGGCTGACCACAGTTTGAGTCCCAGACCCGCTGGCTTGAAAATCATGCCGGATCCGTGTGCGTGCATGCCCAAGATCTGGGAAGAGAATGGAGAAGGGATTGCAGTGTGGGCATCCCTTGTAGGGGTGATTTCTCACTTTTGCTCTCACTGTGTCTCTCTCTCTACTTGGGGAGGGCAAGCGCCCTCAGGCAAAAACCTCTAAATAAATAAATAAATAAATAAAAAGAAGAAGAAGAAGAGAGCAGCTAGTGTCACACAACTGGCCCCATGTGGGAAAGGTCTCAGGTTGGGTTGCCTCTATGTGCCTGGCATGTTTTTCAAGCCTCAGCGTCTGGGACTTGAACTGCACAGTCAGCCATGTGGGATCCAGCCACCTTAATGACCTGTCTGGTCCCAATAAGTACACTTATAAAATTAGAGAGAGAGTCTGGTAGCTTGCGTTCTCACTTTCACTCTCTCTGCCCAAATTAAAAAGTAATAATAATAAATTAAATTAAATTAATTCTTTAAAAAAAACGTTTATTAAAAAAAAAAAGGAAAGAGGGGGGGAAAGTACAAAGG